CCCCCCGACCCCCCCCAGCCAGCCCCGCTGTACCCAACCCCTGCCCCCTCCGCCAGCTGGTTCCTCCTCTCGATCTCACCCAGTCAGCCCCCTCCTCCGGCCAGCCCCTCCCCACTCCCGCCCCATGAAGTGTGTCCAGTATGTTTTTTTTAAAACTACCTGGTAACCCTATAATGTCTCAAAAAAAGAGTGGCTTTGCATTTTAATTTAATCACATGATACGCTCTTTTAGTTTTAAAGTATGGATTGCTGTATTATGCAATAAGCGCTGAATTGCACATGTAAAAAACAAACTAAGCAGTACACTGTCCCATACTTACGTTTGTATTTTTAAGTAAAGTCTAGTTGTTAATTTTAAAAAAGTAAGTTTAGTTATGTTTTAGTTTCTTTAGTTTGTTTGACGAACATTCAATAAATGTTAACCTTTAAAAAAATCCCTGAGTACATACCCTAATGAAATGTGCTGTGCACGCTTATGCTCTCAACTAAATGTTTTTAGTAATTTTGAAAAATAAATTGTTGGCCATCAAGTAATTTTGAAGTACCCCTTTCAACATGAGATAGTAAGCTTTTTCCTCTCCGACCTCTTCAGTTTTGAGATGTTAATGCTAGTTAAGCATTTGAGATTCAGCATATTCCTGGACAAAGTGCATATTTTTCTGAGCACTCTCAACATACTGAAATGCTTTCATATTTCTCAACTATCAGACTACATAATCGTACACTGAATAAAACAGTTTAATGAGTCAGTTAAGTTGAAAAAACAGTAGTGCAGATAAAATTACATTAAAATAGTTAATTTCTATAAGAAGTTTGTGTATATTAGTTTCCTTATGAGTTAATTCTCAAAACCAACTACTTCTAGAGGCAAGATCCACAATGGCAGGATTTTTCCAATTATCCAAAATATTGACGAGTCAGAATAAGCATTCTGGCACCCCCAGGTTCTGAACCCTCACTTGCATAGGCACTACTACAGTGGCTCCCAACCTTTTTGAGCATAGGGACCCCTTTTCAATCTATTAAAATTTTATGGACCTTCAAACAATATAGCCGTGCCTGCATATCCCCTGCATATCCCACACTGCTTCTAGAGCCGCATCTCTCAGTCCGCTCAGGAAGCAGCATGGGCTGAGGGACTTGCTGGCTGCCAGCACAAAGCCTCTCCACTCCAATAGCTGGAGGGGGAGCCACAGGAAGGAACATAGGTGGAAGGACATGCTTGCTGAGAGAGGATCTGTATATTTATTTTAATTTCTGATTTAAACTATCCATGGACCCTCTACAGTACCATTACAGCCCACCAGAGGTCCATGGACCACATGTTAGGAACCACTGCACTACTGTGTTCGGCCTGTGTTATCCTTTGGAGGTATGTAGTTTAAAAACAGCTATATGGGCTTGAAAACTAAACATAACTCATTTGAAAAGGATAAAAATCCTGTTAATTGATTCTGTATATTATATCAAATTCTATTTTGAGCAACACAGACCTGACACCTCTTCTGACAGAGTACTGAGAATATAAACATACAGAAAAAAGCACATATTTTGTTATCTTAGTCAATTTGACAGACAGAAAGACAAACAGAAAAATGCTATTAAAAAGGGGGGGGGGCAAAAATCAGCAGAAAAGAAAGAAAAAGAAAAAGTAGTCAAAATATAACCTCTTTACCACATTGTCTTAAGACACATATTTCCAATTGGGTTCTTCTCCACCTGCCTGCTAAGTTCACTTTTTGAACTAATCTCTTATATTTCTATCCTCCCTCTCATCATCATGGCCTAGGAGGAAGGAATATTGAATAAAAGTGTCCTCTGCAAGGTTGAAGAAACTGCAGTCTCAAGTTATAAGCAAATGGAGGAGTCATGTACAGTGCTTAATTTTACCAAGGATTTATTAATCCTTTACTAAGGATTTCTATTCCAAATGCTTAGTTATTTATGAATGAAATTATAACACATTTACCACTTTATCCACAAATTTCAAAGCACTTCAGAAAAAGTGAATATTATCCTCATATTAACAGATGAGGAAACAAATGCAGAGATAAGGGCCTGATTTTCAGGAATGTTGGGCACCTATAACTCCATTTAAAATCAATGTGTACTGCAGGTATTCAGTATCTCTGAACCAGGCCCTATATATCATAACTAAAATACTCTCAACATTGTCAAACATGGAAATGCAACTTAGGCACCAGAGTCCCATTTTCAGAAATGACTCAGGTATAAAAGACTCTCATGAAACGCGGGCTCCTGAGTCACTTATATGCCAAAGTTACATATTCAGAAATTTACCTCAAATCTATGGCAAGCGCAGCACTTCAGAAACTCCGTTTGTTACCTTATTGCTAGTCTTAAAAAACAGTTCGCATATTCATTTATTCCAAAATAGTTCAACTATTTTGTTTATAAATTGTTTAGAAATAATTTAAACCAATGTTTGATAACTGTGATATCACTAGTTGAGAGAACAAAGAACTACTATGTTAATTTTTACAGTACCCATGTTACAGTACTAATCATTTTCCAGATAACTAAAATATTAACAGCTTTGCAGTCATGTAAAACTATTCATTTTCACAGTATTTACAAACAGAACATTGTGTGCCTTTGGGTGCATTTTCCAAAAATGTTTAGATCTTTGTAGCTCACTTAAAACTGGTGAAAACTTAGTTAAGATAATTAAGTTTTCCTCCTTTTTATTGCTATAGTAGACTAACCTGTAAAACCGGTTGATTAGTCTCATCCGAATAGTGCAAAGATCCGTTGGATAAGCTATCACTGTACAGTACTTTGGATATGTACTCAGATCAACTGGACCAGCAAAAGCTGCTGAAATGTCTGTCAAAAATAGTAATATTTCAATTAGGTGAACTAACAAATTCAAGGCACATATACATATGGATTTTCATATAAGTGCTACTGTTATACTATAACCACTGTTAACAGGTTATGTATAAACATATGAATCTGAATAGAAATGTGATAAAAGTTGCAAGGCAGGTTTAACACAATTACAGTACTTTATCACAAATCTTAAAAAAGGATCAGCACTATGTCTCATATCTATTTATAAAAAGTTTATTGCTAAGGAAACAAGGAACTGACTAATTCTGTGTTCTCACCGAGATTCAGCAGCTGATCAATGCCACCGATAATTCGTTCACACACTTCATCTCGAGATGTTTTCCCCCATTCTCCCTCTTGGGGTTTGTATAGTAGCTTCTCCATTTCTTCATAAGTTACAGAAACACTAGCTCCTAATTCCTCAGGTTGATCAACTACAGATTTATAGTTAAATGAGGAAGGTGAGGAAAAAAAGAACACAAACAAAAGAATAAATGAGAATTTAATAAGCTATGTGTGTGCCCAAATTTGATAATATGTAAAATCTTCCCTAATGTCATAAGATGAGGAGTCTGAAGTTTAGGAACACAAAATGTCTAATCTTTGTTGCAGAGGAGTTTTCAGAATGCCCTGCTATCTAAAAGTAGGAATGGCTAATTTTGCTTTTTAATTAAGGAAAAACTGTATACAAGCAGCTTTTAAAACTCCTTTAACAGATTGTGCCAGTTTAAACTTAGGCCTGATATGCACATATCAACAAGCAAAAGATAAGTATTTTTGACTACCAACAGTGTAAGCTGTAGTGTAGCCCTCATGCAGCTACACTATTTTTCGTAGAACAGCAAGGCTGAGTGTGTAAACAACTCACAATATGCAGGGTAATGCAACCTATTCCACAGAATAACAGAAAAAATAGCAGGTTTTTTGAATTATGTTATGTTCTACAATGAAACCCGTTTTAAATAACTGCTCAAAGGACAAGAACAACTCTGCTTGTGCTGCAGCAGAAACCAAAAAAGCTATTTAAATGTCTGCATGCTTAAAGAATAGAATGAAAAATACTGCATATTAGGATTTATATGTAAACGGTACATCACCTGAAATACCGTACCTACTTATATCTAAAGGAAATAAAGCAGGGTTTTTGCTACTAGCTTCTCTCATTCATTGATCAACAGATTAATGCCCCCTCCCTCCCACTGAAACTGGAGGTGGAAACTGAGGCTCCAGAACTGAGTGCAGACCTCCAGCTCAGGCCACTGGAAGAATTATTTCAAAATTGCAGAAAATACTCCCACAACCAATTATTAGCATGAAGACAAGCCAAATATACTGCCCACAGTGCAACTGTGTCTCATTCTGCCTTCAGAGAAAAAAATAAATGTTACAATTATAATCTGCTTTTTATTAGACTACCAGGGTAGGATGAGTTAGGAGAGAAGGCTTCCAGCAGTAAGATACTAAACTTTATGTTCTGCAGCACAGCTTCTCTCCTCATTCACCACTAATGTGAAATAGCAAGCAGTGAATAACTTAAGAGGGGGAAAGAAAGCAGCAGTTTTAAGTAAAGTAATAGAAATGGAAACATACCCACAAGTAAAATCACAGCTTTGTAATTTAAATAATTATTTAGGAACCAATCCAACAGCATCTTCCTACCAAAGGATGGCTCTACAGAAGAATGGACATCGACTTTTCAAATCTGCCTTATGCGTCTCACATACAATCCCCCTCACTACCCCCAATGCCTTCAGGAAACCCGAAAGGAAAGCCTCGATCCCCCCTGCCCTCCACAAAGTCTCCAGACAGCAGCATTCCATGCAAGATTTTTACACCATGACCCCAGCAACTTTCTGAAGTTATGACAACTAGAAAGGTCTGCCACACTGACCTATGTCATTCCAATTAAACTAGATTCCCTAATGAGTCTCAGCTAGATAGCCTACTGTGAGTGTCTAAAAACACCATTAGGCTTGTACCGGATATGCTATGGTGCTTGGTCATAGGACTCTATTCAGCTACTATGGAGAACTTCTAAAGTACGTGAAACACTGCTACTTTGTATTATTTATGGGGCTGTCGACAGATCTCAGTTAAGTCACATGATTAACTAAAAAATTTAAATGTGACTAACCGCAATTTAAATCACACTTAAAAAAATATAGTTGGACCTCCCTGATCCGACACCTTCAGGACAGTGAGCCATCCTGAACGAGTGAGTTTACTAGACCAGAGGAGGTCCATGCCAGCCCCTCGGCAGCTGGTCTTTAGGCTCTTCAAGGGTGCTGCCAGACTCCTGGTCAGGCTACCTTGCTGACCACTGGCCCTGGCTCCCAGCCAATCCTGATGTTGACCTTGGCCCTTGGGCTCTGCTTCCGGCCCTGGCTTCACCTCCAGTCCAGCCCCACTCCCAGCCATTGGCCTGGCCCCTCTGCCTCCAGACTCCCAGCTGCTCCCCTCTTCGTTCTCCTCCCCCACCTCCCCACTCCCAGCTGCTGGCGTTCTTTGGTCCATCAACATCCATGGTAATGCTGGGTCATCGATATTGCTGGACCAAAAAAATTCAAGTGTATCAATCAAAATGCATTAAATATTTTGAATGCTTTTCTATATTTTCAAATACATTGATTTCACTTATTATACAAACCATACAGTGCTCATTTTATATTATTTTTATTACAAATATCTGCACTGTAAAAATAGTATTTTTCAATTAATCAAATACAGTAATGCAATTTCAACTGTAGAAGTTACAAATGTAGAAACATTTTTGTTCTATAACTGCACTCAAAAACAAAACAATGTCACACTTGAGAGCCTAAAAGTTCACTCAGTCCTACTTCTTAAGGCAATCACTTAGAGGAAAAAGAAGTTGCCAACTAATGGATTTCTTGCAACTTCTCACAGCTAGTACTAGCTACTGTCAGACAGGATACAGCATTCAATGGACCACTGATCCAATCCCTTATGACCAATGTTTATATTTTTGTTACACAGAGCTGGGTAAGTGAACTAAAATGTTAGGTACTCTAAGAAATGGAACTTTGCTCCCCAACCTATGAGTTTTTCTTCAATACTGAGTAAGCAAGAGTGCAGATTGGAATTTATGATAGCTTTCAGAATGTCTGTATTTAGGAACAGTAAAACTCCATTGGTCCGGCATCCAATGCTCCGGCACTCCTGATGGTCCAGCACCATCAGGAACCTAGAAGTGCTCCGGCTGACGGACAACTGGAGCTACTCTGTCCCCAGCTTCCCCGATTCAGCTGCTGGTCAGTTTCAGCAGCGGTGGACTTGCGTAAGCCGGGGACAGAGTAGCTCCAGTTGTCCGTCAGCCGGAGCACTTCTAGGTTCCTGATGGTGCTGGACCATCAGGAGTGCCGGAGCATTGGATGCCGGACCAATGGAGTTTTACTGTTCCTAAATACAGACATTCTGAAAGCTATCATAAATTCCAATCTGCACTCTTGCTTACTCAGTATTGAAGAAAAACTCATAGGTTGGGGAGCAAAGTTCCATTTCTTAGAGTACCTAACATTTTAGTTCACTTACCCAGCTCTGTGTAACAAAAATATAAACATTGGTCATAAGGGATTGTCAGATCCCTCATAGCCCCCCCTTCCGATAGTCTGGCAAATCTGATAATCTGGCACCCCCTGGGTCCTAAAGGTGCCAGATTATCGGACGTTTACTGTACCAAGAAACTGAGATCTGAGTATGATCAGAATATCTAATTTTGTATTCTACCAGGTGCATGCTTCCATGATAATGAATTTCTGGAGACTCATTTTAAGAAGTATCAGTAGGGTAGCTGTGTTAGTCTGAATCTGCATAAACAACGAGAAGTCCTATGGCACAACGGCATTTGCTCCAACCCCGCAGACAGAGGCAAACACCTACAAGATCTTCACCAAGCATTCTTAAAACTACAATACCTGCCCAAGGAAGGTGAGGAAACAGATTGACAGAGCCAGATGTTAGGCCCAACAGAGAAAACAACAGAATACTACTGGCCATCATCTACAGTCCCCAGCTAAAACCTCATTCTTACAGACCCTGGGAGACAAGCCAGTGCTCACTCAGATAGCCTGCCAACCTGAAGCAAATTCTCAACAGCAACTATAAACCACACCACAGTAACTCAACTCAGGAACCAATCCCTGCCACAAACCTCAGTGCCAACTCTGCCCTCATATCTACACCAGACACACCATCACAGGACCTAACCACATTAGCTACACCATCATGGGCTCATTCACCTGCAAATGTAATATATGCCATCATGTGCCAGCAATGCCCCTCTGCCACATACATTGGCCAAACTCAACAGTCCCTACGTAAAAGAATAAACGGACACAATCAGATATCAGGAATGGTAACATACAAAAACCTGTTGGAGAACACTTCAATCTCTCTGGACACACAGTAGCAGATTTAAAAGAAGCCATCCTGCCAAAAAAAAACAAACACCACCACCACACACAGACTTCAAAGAGAAACTGCAGAGCTACAATTCATTTGCAAATTTGACACTACCAGTTCAGGATTAAACAAAGACTGTGAATGGCTAGCCAACTACAAAAGTAGTTTCTCCTCTCCACATTAGCTGCTAGAAGTAGTGGGCCTCATTCTCCCTGACTGAATTTACCTCGTTATCTCTAGCCTTACTTTTGATTGGTACTTTTTTCATATGCTTGTATATTTATACCTGCCTTTGGAATTTCCACTACATGTATCTGACGAAGTGGGCCTTTGCCCACGAATGCTTGTTAGTCTATAAATCTGTTAGTCTATAAGGTGCCACAGGACTTCTCGTATTTTAAGAGATTACACTCAAAGGAAAAGACTGACACATGACATCAGCAATCCAAGCCATAAATGGGTACTAATGATTACCACCAAACTGGTCTTGATTCCTAGATGAACAAGTTCTTAATACTGAGTCCAAAATGTTCTTGATTTAAAATTGATCATGAACTGATCTGCTGCCCTAAACAAGGCCTTGATTACTATTTGAACAGACACACGAGCAACATGCAATCTAAGACATACCATGACCATCTGAAGACACCGAATACTGTGAACAAGCAGGGCATATACAGATTCTGCAGAATGGTTGTCTCATGAGAATCACCATTTAGATTTAGCCCCTTGTTTATAGCACACTTCTGTTATTGCCTGCAGGGATGCACCCCAATGGCAGATCCAGGTGACTGAAATTGTAATGCTGTCTATCCAATCCAGGAGAGGATAAGGAAGACAGATTATATGAAGTTACAAATGGAAGAAACTGAACCACCAACTTGTTCTGCTGCCAAAGACAAAAATCTATTGTCCTGATCTGGAGCAAGGTGTTCAGTTCTAGAACCTCCAGAAAAAATTATCTACCTCTGAATACCATTGGTGGAGGATAAATCCATTAATGATGCATGAATGAGGATAGAAGCTGTGCTGCAAAAAAGAAGAGTTGTGGACAAATTAGCCTACTGTCGTAACAAATTAGAAGCATGGAAAAATTAACCACAGAATAGCTTTTGAAAACCTATAGACTGCTTAGTTTACAGAAGAGTGTATAAAACAATGAATGGTATAGAAGGCAAATTAAGCACCCCCTATTACAGAGCTAACATGTGGAACTTATCCCAAGATATCGCTCAGGTCATGAGTTTAGACAACTTTGAAAAAGGATTAGTCAGCCAAATGGCTGCTGAGAATATCCATAACTATACTATATAGGAATAGGAAAACTTCAAGGAGCTAATTCCTTCCTAAGTGGAATACCTTGAATTTGTCCTTGCTGAATTTCATTCTATTTAGCTCAGACCATTTCCCCGTTTGTCTAGATCATTCTGAATTATAATCCTATCCTCCAAAGCATTTGTAACTCCTCCCATCTTGGTATGATCTGCAAACTTAATGAGTATTCTTGATGCCATTTTCTAAATCACTGAAGATACTAAACAAAATCAGACCAAGAATTAACCCTCTGATAAACCCCATGCATTATGTCCTTCCAGCATGATGGTAAAAAACCAATAACTACTCTCTGGGAATGGTTATCCAACCAGTTATGCACCTACCTTACAGTAGCTCCACCTATGTTGTATTTCCCTAGTTTATTAATGAGAAGGTCGGTCATGGGAGATTCTATCAAATGCTTTACTCAAGTCTACATTTACCACATCTTCTACTTCCCCCTTAACCACAAGACTGGTTATCCTATCAGGCTGGCCTGTCATGATCTGTTCTTTACAAATCCATGCTGACTGTTACTTATCGCTTTATCTTCTAGATGTTTGCAAATTGATTCCTTAATCATATGCTCCATTATCTCTCCTGTTATAAGCAAACTGGTCTGTACTTCCCTGAGTTGTCCTTATTTCCTTTTTTATAGATGAGCGCTATATTGCCCTTTTCCAGTCTTCTGGAATCTCTCCCATATTCCCTGACTTTTCAAAGGTAACTACTAATGGCATAGATATCTCTTCAGCCTTGAGTATTTGAGGATACATTTAATCAATTCCTGGTAACCAAAAGTCATCTAACTTGTCTAAATAATTTTTAAGTTTTCTTTTACTATTTTAGCTTCTATCCCTACCCCATTTTCACTGGCATTCACTATGTTAGGTACATATATATTAGGCACGTATCAGCCTGAGTCACATGGTTATCATTAATGCAGGAATCTTATCATAAGCCAAAAACCTGAGAATTTTTTAAATGTCAACCTTAATTATTTGAACACTCCTATAAAGAAAGTAGAAAGAAATCAGGGCTCTGATTTCAGAGCAATTAAGCAACAGAACAATTTACCATGGGTTGTGGTGGATTCTCTATAGCTGATGATTGTAAAATCAAGCCTGCATGTTTCTTCTAAAAGATACACTCTGGGAACTATTGGGAGGAATTTTTATGGCCTATGTTATGGAGGAGTTCAAACTAGATTATCACAATGGTCCTTTCTGGCTATGGAATCTATGAATTACAACAAAAGTTACAAAGGCTCCTTTGCAGAAAAGTGACAGCCAGAGGATTCCCATTGCTCTTCCTCCCCATTTGTTTTTAAAATAGAATATATACAGTTTGTGATCTACATACTTCAGTGACTTCCCTTCTTCAGCAGTGATTTTGAAGGCTAGTGGGAGGGGGGGGGGGGGGGAGATATTAGGGAAAAGACATATGCTAATTTTAGACTGATATCCAGATTAAAAAATTTTACAATGAAAACAAAATTTCCTCCTTCCATTTTCCTTCTCTCAAAGCCACTTTTAATGGAAATTATCAGATCCTTAACTATAACAGAATACCTATGCCATTATATCAGTTCTACCCTTAAGAAGTATGAAAAATGGTAGTGTCTTACAATAATAAAAGTAAGCTATGATCAGGTGTTATGGTAACAGGAGCCATATAAGAAAATATCGAGACTAGCATTATCACTTGCACAAAAATTATTTTAGAGACAGACACGGGGATTAAAGGTTTTTAATTCATTTTCACATACCATTATCAGAAATTGGTTCCATGTCCCATGGACTGAGTTTTTCAATTTCACCATTATCCCATCTGTTTAAACAAGAAGCAAATTAACAAATGTAAATAAAACAAATGTAAGGTATTTTTCCTTTTATTTTCAACAATGAAATCTGAAGTACCAAGGTACAGGAAGGAGGGAGTAAATCAAGCTCTCTTGGAGTCAATGTTACTGCAAATGTAGCTTGTTTTAAAAGCTTTAAATTAAAACAGCACTTTTACTCTCTAGGCAATGCTTAACTGATGTCCTATTATATTAATGGAAATACAAAGAAAAAGGAAAATGTGTCTAAGTTACAGACCAAGAACATAACAAAAAGACAAAAACACTTAGTTTGAAGCTTAAGTCAGAAAGTTTCATAAGGTATTTAAAGTAAATAAATGTGAGCACTCAAATACTGGACACAGTTTGAAGGAAAATTTGCAAGAGCTTTACTAAAAATTTAAAATTCTGATTCAGTGAAGAGAATAATGATCAGCTTAGCTACTTTTACAACATTTATACAGCACCATACATTCACACAGCACTTTACAAAATAGATCATCTCTACGTTGCTACAAAGTTTACAGTCTAAATAAGACAAGACAAACAAGATTAAGGCACTAGTGTATGAGAAGGCCAATGCAAATATTCCTGTCAATGGAAAAGGATTATTTTAAGAAAGTGAATTTGGAAGAAGAAATGGGATGTTTGCTGGGGTATATACTAGTAGGCACAAAGTAAAGGGGGGGGGGGAGAAATAAAGTGATAGGATTGGAGTCAAGGAGGGAGAAGGAAGCAATAGAGTGGTTCATATCTAATATATTTACTTTGATAACCATGAGAGATTTATTTAAATTCCTGAAGATTATATATATCTATATCTATTTTATGCCTTGATTAGCAGTGAAATAGATAAATATTGACATTTAAATTACCATAATTGGGTGTTGTAACTGACACGTCTACAGCAGAGCAAGGCAATATACACTTCTCAATTATTTTAAGGTATCTACAGACTGAGGCAGCATCTTATACTGGTTTAGAACCCCTAGTATGGATGAGGGATGTGAAAGTGTAAACCAAGGGTGAGCAAGAGAGCCCCCATGTGGCCCACCAAATGGATTGATCCGTCCCGTGAGTCCCCTGCTGCTCCCTCATCCCCAGAACAATCAGGGCATGGGAACAGGGGAGCGCTTGAATTCTCCTCCCCAACCAGGGACTTAAGAGTGTACCTCCCTCTGAACAGCAGGCGGTTCAGTCTAAACGCCACACACCCCTTAGATCAGGGAGAGAGACACTTCGTGCGCTCCCCTACCCCCAGGCCTTGGATTGACCTGGGGGCGAGAGGAGTGTGCAAAGTCTCTTTCCACTGCCAGGGGTGCAGGCGCCTAGAGGGAACAGCCAGCTGTTCAGAACAGCTGGTAAGTCTCTCAGGCAAAAGGACAGAGCACAAAAATTGCACACACTCCCCCACCCCCCAGGCCAATCAGGGTTTGTGGGCAGGAGAGCACAGAAGTGTTCCCGCCTTACCCCTTCCATGGTGGTCAGAGGCCACTTCAAAAATTTGTGAAGTGGCCCCTCTTTAAAATTATTGCCCACCCCTGGTGTACACAGTTAATCGATGAGCCTTGGTTCATTGGTTAACCTTCTCAGTTACACGTAGGCGCCCAGTGTGAGTGGGGAGCCATCTATACACCTCTCCCCCGTGCTGCTGCCTCTGTATCAGAGGCAGAGGTGGGATGGAGGAGAAGTTCGGAACTTGTGCTTGTGGATAATGTTCTCTCTAAGCTGTGTGGAGGCACGGCCCTGCAACTGCTTAATGAGCCCCACCCAGCCAGGGTCTCAAGACTTGAGCACAGAACTGCCTGGCTGGGGGAAGTGCACTTCTCCCTCAGCAACCGCAGCAGCTCCCAGGTTAGGGCAGAGCAGCGAGTCTGTCATACCGAGTAAGAGACCGAAAAGCAGCTCCTTGCGCTTGTCTTTCCCAAGAACATAAACTATTGCAATGATACAGGAGGCTGACTAACACGTGACAAACAAACATATTTTGGATTTTAAATTATAAGGGAATAAATAATTCAAGTTAAATGTGCTTGGTTTCCAAAAATATTTTATTTCTGTATCTGACACTCAGTGGCTTTGCACGCTGCATACCATTTTAGATTTTAAAACTAACTTTAAAAATGTATGAACATATCTTAGTCAATTTTGTTCTGGATCCAATATTGACATGTACATGTAATGTAGGGATGTAAAAAATCATTTATAAAGGTAACCAGGTAACTGCTAAAAATCCTGACTATTACACATACTGCGGGCTCTGCAGGATCTCTTACTTTTATACTACAGACTGGGGTGACAGCTGGCCTCCTGGGAGCAGGGCTGGCAGGGGCTGCAGCCTCTGTCCCCAAGAAGCCATTGTGTAGCCGTAACGGAAACTAATAAGCTCATGCTTATTAGTCTATAAAGTGCTACCAGACCATTTGTTGATTATAATTTAAACAGTGACATTCTTAATGTAAAGCCAGCGAGACCTGTACAGAATACAGAAATTAAGCATTTCCATGCCCCAGTACAAACCCACCAATCTACAATATATTTGAGAGAGTTTGGTCGGTCTGTTCAAGAACTCCTAAATAGTAAGAGCTAGAACCAACAAATTGGGTATGCAGTTTCCTGTTGTCATAATGTAAACCAAAGGAGGTTTACCAAACGGTTCTGCCAGGAAATCAGGAGGTGCCCAGAATGGGATTGCTTCTCATAAAACCACACAGAGAGGAGACAATCACTAAGTGTGAAAGGGGCTGGCAGGGAGGTGTGCCCCGCATACCAATTATGAATCCAAGACAGCTCCAGCCCCAAGCCTTCCACTTCACAGGCTCCCTTTAGGGAAGGCAAGAGGGTGGGGACTGAAGCTTCTACCTCCCCAAGTCTTATGGGGGGAGGTTGCTAGCTTTTTGCAACATTCTGGCTAGGGAGTTCAGGGGGTAGGCGAACCTACAACTGCCCCAGCTGAGGGAATGCATCCTTTTCCTGGCTGTGCCTGTTGGCCCTGGTGCAACCTGCACACTGAATCCCTTATCCCCAACAATAATTTAAATGATGCACGTACATTTTCATTTTATTTTCCAAAAAAACCTAAATTAGTTGAAGGACCCAAGCAACGGCAGGGAAATATTTTAGTATTAAAATATAAAATAATTAATTTCCATTGTGTGTGTTGGCATTACTGAAGCTCTATGGTTTTGACTTTCTTTTTAGAAGATCTCTGTTGATTGGTCCATGAAGATTCAATAACTCATAATACGCAAGTCATAGAAAATACAGAATACAATTTGTGTTAAGCAAGTTATTATTCATGAAAAAGTTACTGCTTTTTGGCAACGTTCACACAGTGCTTAAGATATGGTTTGCTAATGGTGCTTTATATTTTCAACCAATAACATATTTTGAACATTTTGTGCACTATTACACGCACTGTCCACCTACACAAACCATGATATACACTATGTAAATAAACATTTAAAAACTCTCTGTACTTACTTAACACTGTAACACTGAAAGTGACTATCTGGATACTGTGGCTGATATGGCTCTTGACCCAAAACTGTTCCAAACCACCAAGCATCATCAATAATGGATCGGAATCTATCAGCTGTAAGAGAAAGAACTATTTCTGATAGATATTCTGGTAAACAAAAGTTTTTAAACCATTTTTTTGTGAGGATGGAATTACTGTGGAAAAAACTAATGAACTGACTCAGACTCATAGACTTTAAAGGTCAGAAGGGACCATCCTGATGATCTAGTCTGACCTCCAATATTGCATTTTGGTTTAAAATTATAACTATCTACTTAGAAAAAGGCATTAGATAAAAGAAAAAGAACCTACTACACAAAGTAATGTACATTATTCACAGAAAGTACTAAAATCCAAACATTCACTAACATACAAATAATGTGTCAATTTATGTTCCACTGTAAAACACATGCATTGCTAAAGGTGCTAAATACAATATATAAATACTTGTATGACTTCAACCACAATGAGACAAAGGCCTGGAAAAACAAAACAAAACAGATAAGCTTTAAAAGAGTGAATTGAAGGCCAGACCCTGGCTCTAGCTTACTAAGAGGCAATGAACTCCATTTCCTAGTCCAGGTCTCTCCATCTAGGGATGTTAAATATTGATTAATTGAATAGTTGAGCAACCTCCTTAATTCTTATTGGTTAGTTGACTATTTTATAGTCCCCGGGGCAGAGCCGGCAGCCAGTGCACTCGGGCCCCACTCCCGAGGAGCCCCCTGCCACTCCGCGCTTCTGCCACTATCAGAGGCAGCAGCGCGGGGTACCAGACAAGAGCTTGTACACAAGGGGAGCCAGTTTAAAAACCAGCTCCCCTTGCAGACCAACTGCTTGTAGCCCTGTGCTGCTGCCTCTGATAAAGGGGCAGCAGCATAGGGTGGCAGCAGCCCGTCTGAGCTCCCAGACTCAGCACGAGCTGGAAAGGAGCCGGCTGTCCGCCCACCGGGCTCCTAACATATTTTAAATGCAGAGATTCAGTAGGGGTAGGTTCCAGACCTGTTGCACGTCAGCACTGAGCCAGGCTGTTCAGGTCAGCCTGCTAAAAAATTTACTGGCAGGGGATGAGGGAGGAAAATGAGTGTACAGCCTCTTCCCAACTTACGAACCAGTTACAGACCAAGCAATTGGTCGTAACTCAGTTTGTTGGTAAGTCAGACCCCATAGAGTTACATGCGACCGCTCCGTTCGTAAGCGTGGATCGCGTTCATAACTCAGGGTTCGCCATTTATGACAGCTTTGGTCGTAACTGCGAAAGGTTGTAAGTCGACCGTTCACAACTCGGGGACCGGTTGTAGTCTATAGCATTAACCTGTAAGATTTTGCTGATCAGTTAATCAACTGCATTGATGCCCCACTAGCTCCATCAATGGATAACTTGAGTAATCAGATGTTCAAATCTCTAGAAACTGTTTGCAAAAGGATCTCAATTGACCGTAAGTGTAACAATGTACTCAAGCTGCACAGAGCCTTTTAAATCAATGTCAACACAACAAATTATACATACCAGTCTCAGAAGCTAACTACTATGGAAAATGTTTGTACTCAAACTATATTGCCAGACATTTAGAAAGTGAAGACTTACAAGACTGCCAATTCCTTTGTCGTGCTTCATCATAAAACTGACGCAATACAAGAAAGTCAATGACATCTGGCATATCATGGTATCTAGATTAAAAAATAAAATTAGCTTTCATTTGAGTGCCATACTATGTTATGCTGTTGCTTAGATGGGAAAAAAGAGTAGCTTTCAAAGAATTATGTTATCTAGCATATTCATTCAGTAAAGAAACATACTTCAGAGAAAATGATTTGTCTGAAATTTTTCCAGTGGCATGGTCTATGAAGGCAAGCTTCAGGCAACACAACGTAGGAGGACCGACTTCGTATCGTATCCCAACAATTTTTACCAATTCTTGATCCTGTAGCGAATAAAAAAAATGAAAACAATACATTCCATTAAGCTTCCGCCTTATACTAAATCTCTAGTTTAGCTTCATTACACAATATCTGAACAGTTTTAGCACTCAAAAAGCAAATATATTGTAAAATACTGTACATGAGGTTTTACTGGGAGACAACCAAATTCTTTTAGAAAGTCTGTACCCTTTTATTAAACAAGATTTATATTTTAATTGTAGTGAAGTCTAGGCTTCCCATGGGAAGTATTGAAGGTTTCTTAGATAACTGAAGAAATCTTTCTTCCTCCTTTACCACAGGAAAACATTAATGGAAAGTTACACAAAAGTCCTCACTAGTTATATTTATACAAATAATCTATAATGCTAATATAAACTGTTAGTTAGATATTATCAGTACTGAAACATGTAACAACTTCAGTATACTCTTACCCTAAGGACCATTTTTCTCCATGGCTCCTTGTGGGGGTTTAGTTCATAAATATTATTTTTTCGGACTGCTTCAATATAAGCTTCATGACCTTGTCGAAAATATATTACCTGTAAAATAAAAATCCACTCAACAATTATATACTTAAGAAAATACGGTACATATTTTTGTATATTTAGAGCCAGTTCCTATGTTAACTTTTAGATAAGATAAAATTTTATAGCACTTTTTGATAAAAGCTCTCACCTCATCACCCATTTGAGGAACAAAAGGAGATTTTCGAAGTGCTGTGTCAGTTATCCAAACAGGAGGATGGTAGTCATATAACACGTCTTGGTTTACTGACTGTGTGGGAGTACTAGTCTGCACAGTCTAATAAACAGGATAGTTATATGTTAGAAATTATATGCTTCATACAATGTCATGAAAACTGGTTATCCAAGAATTTCTTCAGAAGTTTACACAAGTTAATACCATGAAATTATATCATTAAGCTCTATTAAAGATCTTTAGACCAAAAATCTCCTGAAGACCACATTTTTGTACTCAAGTTTTGGTATTCGGGTTCTTCTTATATCTGCAGTTCTTCCATTGTTGTCAATATTTGCAGTTCTTCCATTGTTGTCAATATGTATGTCAACTATAAAGTATTCTGCTCCCATAATCTTGTAGTTCTCTCAGAGCTTCACAGTAGTTCTTAATGTGACTGTCAAAAGACTTGTCTAATTTTTGAAACTGCTGTTCCAATGTTCTCTAACTGGAAATTACATATTGATTGAGGTATGTGTGCCAGTTTATTAAACAGACTATTTAAATGTGTACAAAGTGTTGTTTAAAGCAAAGGAATTCCAAATGATTATACATCTGCTACTTCAAGAGTAACACTCAGAATCAAAGGTGATTATGTAATCAAAATAATTATTTGAGAATAATAGACAAATACAGACCATCACACATTTCGTACTGTATGCTGACATGCATTTGAAAAGCACTATGTTTTATCACCACTCCCCTGGCTGCAAGAGAGTTGCAGAATTACTTGAAGCATTTAAAGATTCTAGTTCTCCATATTATTACAGAATGCTATTTTCTACACATTTAAAATTTACCAAGGCACTGAGAATAAAATTCCCCACTGTGCAGACAGCCAGCACAAGGCCTATACACCATTTAATCCTGGGGGAATTCTGAAACAGTTACATTTGAAACCACAGTATAATTGCAGAATTCTCCCAGGACTAACCATTTAATACCTGTGCTGTTTGAAAGACTTAGGTTATTTAAATTAATGATGTCCAACCATTAAGTAATAGGGCTGAGGTTCTAGCCAATTATTTTCTCATCCATAAACAACCCATCTCATGTTTAACTAGGAGAAATGTGATTTCATTTTGTATGCAAAATTTGCCCTGGCTAGTATAAGCCTGCTGCTCCAGCACATTCTATGTGAGGCATAGCTTGAAAAGATTCAGAAAGTGAAGCTGGTGCAGAATGCAACTACTTGTCTATTAAATAGCACAGATAAGAACTGATGCAATATGCTATCTGCCATTATTGGATGCGAATGAGTTTCCAGACAGTTTAAAATGAGGGTTTTAAATAATAAAGCTTTAAATAGTTAGTAAACTGGTTACTGGGGAAAATAACTGTTTTATAACATAATACTAACACAACTGTAATCAGTGGAGATGCCAGAGTTGAAATCCAATCAATTTAAAATAAAGACATTTTGTAGAAGAACCAAGTTACCAAATCTAGATTTGCTGGCCTTCTAGACATCTGACTTTTCAAATGGGCACTGAGGAACAGGGACATCTGACTTATGAGTGGACCAGCTGGATACAGAAAGGTTTGTCTTGCCGAAATTAAATGTCAGTTTAATTTGTTTTAGATATTTTTGTATCTGTTTTAAAATTCAAAAAGTCACCACAAGTACTTTAAAATCTAAACAAATAAACCTGTAAAAAAGGCTTTTGCATTCAAAGCTGCTGTAAAAAAGTGGTAAAGGTTAAGAAAAAAACCCACTTGTTCGGGACCGCCTATGTTACTTGTTAACTGATGTAAGTAACTTCTTGTAAAATAAAGTACATAAAAGTTACACAATGTAATGTTGCTGGGAGAAGGAAATTTTTGAAAAAGGGGAAAGGGCCCAAGATTAACTTTAAGTTTTACAAACACTTTTAGTAACATCACAAATACCTCTGCCTAATATTGAGGTAACGAATACAAACCACAAACTTCAAGGAACAAGAGATTTAAAATGCAAAAAGAGTTATCTATGAAAAAATTAAGTGAATATAAAGAATTAACTGTAATACCACCTCTTCCTGCTTTTTTGGTTTGGGTTTTTTCCTTCTCCTCCTCCTCCTCTTTGGAGGAGAAGATTTCTCTGCTGATATTTCATCTTCTGAAGTGCTACAATATCGGATAGCTTTGCGTCGAGATGTTCGTACAGGAGGCTGGAGATTTATCCCTGCATCAGCTATCCAGTCAGAATATCTACTTGAAGAGTCACTAATCATGGAAAAAATAACAGAATTTAGATATTCAAACAGCTGACAACTAATTACATGAATACCGTTAAATGAATATAGCAATCTAACACTAGAGGAAGATTTAATTGCTGCAATTCCTTTCAAAAGAACTTCTAATTTCTTTACTCTAGCTAACATTTTAACTGACTACACTAATTTTTCAGTCACTAGCATGCAATTATGACTTTTTTGTCCTTGCTGAATTCTGCACAACATTTCCTGTGTTCCTTCATGGTATTTCAGAAGCAGGATTCCAACTAATAGGAACATCCTGCCTACTCACAGGCAAAAGAAGGCATTTCCTTTCAGACATCTCTTATTTCATTGAGGGTTTTAAAAACAAAACACTTTCCTTTTCTAAAAGACAGTCTAACTTCTTGTTAAGACAGGTTTCCAACAAAAACAGCCGTAACTCAGCAAGGACATCATGGAGGATGAAACCCCTTTAAAAACACGGTTGATTTAACAAAGTTTGAGAATCAGACTATGGCATACTAAAATATATATATATATATATATAAACCACCAGAGATTTACGAGCTGTTGCTCAAGGCCTTTTTTTGGGGGGGGTGGGGGGAGAGGAATGTACATGCTTTATAGAAATGATGGTATTTTTTTAAAAGAATGTTATTTTTCTAAAGTTAATTTTAGTAACAAATTTTAAATGGGAATTCCATTATGTTTATTTTTTCTTCGTTCACACAAACTCTTCTTTGCTGTGTTTTAACAAAAAAGGGCTATAATCAATTTAGTTTCCAATAATATTGTTTTCTGGTTTTCAAACTTTAAACATTGATTTAGTGTTGCCAAAACAGAGCACTACTCCAAATTTCTCCATTTTATCTTTTTTTGTAAGGTTTATTATTGAGAAGCAATCCTATTCCAGGTTCATCATATGTTTCTGACTCATCTTGGTTCAGTCCCTTTCAACATTTGTTATGTCAACTTTGAGGAAGCTGTATACTGAATTTGGTGATGTAGCCTATGCTCTCTCATATGCTGTTTTCATGCAAGACACTCATCTAACAATGGTCTGTTAGAAAGCTTATCCTTTCATGCGATGCATATGTGATACGAACACGAGAGAAATCCTGGACAGAACTGAACAGTTTCAGATGGACGGCTTAGCATCTAACATCAAGAGTTATGGAGGTGTCGCTCCTCTGTGGAAGAATGCAACTTAAGGAAAAATACAAGAAGTTACATCACTTGGTTTAAATGAAACAGATCAACTTGGATACAAACTGCAGGTGCTGTTGAAGCAAAACCTTGTCCCTGAAGAACTGTATGTAAGAAGGCGCAGCCATCAGGGCCTGCAACTAACATGCCCCCCCGAAAGAGATAATGGCTATTGAGAATGCAGTTTTCTGACACAGAACAGGCTTCAGACAGGAAGCAGGGGCTTGAATTAGTGGTTCTAATTAAACAAAATACAGGACTATGCAGCACTTTAAAGACTAACAAGATGGTTTATTAGATGATGAGCTTTCGTGGGCCAGACCCACTTCCTCAGATCCAAAAAAAAATAAATTTTTTTTTATCATTATCTAATAAACCATCTTGTTAGTCTTTAAAGTACTACATAGTCCTGTATTTTGTTTCAGCTACACCAGACTAACACGGCTACATTTCTATATCTGGTTCTAATGAGGCCTCCAAACTGTATTCAGGTCCCATAAAGGCCGAGGAGCCCTTTTAGAGATCCTGTCGCGATGGCACAGGAGAAACCCAATTACCTTTGGATAAGTGGATGAAACACTGTTATTGCTGCTAAGTGCAGTCTCAGTTGCTAAGCCCAATCCCTGGAAGTGTAACAGGTACTCAAAGATGGAAGCTTCTGCTGGATGGGTCCCTGGGGCCAAGGATGACAAAGAAAGCCTCTTCCACTTTGCCAATTATGGTGTTCTAGTAGAAAGCTTCCTACTATTGGTCCTGCTGGATGGCGTCCAAATGACATCCTTCCTCTTCATTCAGCCATGCCATAAGGCGTAAGGAGCTGATCACTGAATGCAGGATACATTTGTGGTCCTATGTGAGGAGGCTAGGAAAAAAAGCAAGCAACCCAGGAGGCTGAAATGACAGAGTGAGGAGATCTGATACCAATGCTGCCTCAATTAGACCAAAGCAATGAGGATCTTGTCTTTCAGCTTGGTGATGACTTTTGGAAGGACTGAAATAGGAGATGAAGACGACAGCAGTGTGTACTTCAAGCTGCAGTGGAAAGTATCAGAGAGGGAACCCATGCTGAATCCCTTTTGAAAGCAGCATAGGCAACACTTGTTTTTCTTCATCACAAAGAGGTCAATTGTAGGGACACTCCACAATGCAAACATCCCAAAGGATTTCTGCATTTAGGAACCACTTGTGGTTGGGAAGAAAACCCTGCTGAGTTGATCGGCAAAATGATTCTGGATCCTTGGTAAGTGAGCAGGTATCTGGGTGATGTCTCTGATACAGAACTGCCAAACGCTGATTGCTTCTAGGCAGAATGATCTGGACCGAGTTCCCCCTTATCTGTTCACATAATAATACACTGTGATGATACTGTCCTTGAATATGTGAATGCGTGATTTGGTCCTGGAAGGTACAACACGCACTGTGAATGGTGCAAAGCTCCAACACATTGGTGTGAACTAATGCCCCTATTCCTACCACAAATCCTGCAACTGCAGCAAGTCTAGTTGCACTCCCCAGCCATGAAAGGACTCATCAGTAACCACTGACTTGGGTCAGAAAGGGCTGAGCAAAGAGGATCTTTTGGCACATGTTACAAGGGGATTCCCAACAGAGCAAGAGCTGCACATTGTCAAGAGGAAGATGAACCATCCTATCTAGAGAATGCAGGGCAGGGAGATAAATCATCCTGAGCCATGTCTGAAGAGAACAAAGGGATAACTTGGCAAGGTGGACTATTTGTAGACATGTGGTCCAGCAGACTTAGGCACACACAGACTCTGTACAGTTGTGACGGCAAACTGAGGCCTAGCTGGGGAATTGTCTGAAAGCTGCTGGTCGGAAGGAACACCCATAGGTTTGCTGAATCTAAAAGAAAGCTGATGAAGTCTACTTGTTGAGTGGGAGTGGAAGTCAACTTCATGGTGTTTAACAGAGATCCAAATGTTCGCTTAAGCGTAGCATGGTGTCAACATGGTGAAAATGTCCTTTCTGAAGCTGCTGTTCAAGCAACCAGTCATCAAGATAGGAGAAGTTATGGATTCTCTTCCTACTGAAGTATGCTAGGACCACTAACATGCATTTGCTGAAAACCCGGGAGGCAGAATTGAGCCCAGACAGGACAACTGTGTATTGAAATTGGCAGTCTCCTATCACAAAGTGAAGATGCTTCCTGTAACAACTGAATAACCACATGGAAATAGAAATCTTCAAAATCCACAGCAATTAACCTGTCATTCTGAAGCAAACCCAGGAGGATAGCTGACAGAGCGACCACACAGAACTTTGTGTGTTTGATTAATTTGTTGAGTTCACAGAGATCAAGGACAAGCCGCATCCTGTCCTGGGATTTCAGTATCTGACAATTTCTTCTACTGTAAATCTGGGCAAGTCACTTTAACCCTGCTGCCTTAGGCTACGTCCAGACTGCAGGCTTCTTTTGGAAAAAGCTTTTCCGGAAGAGAGCTTCCGAAAAAACTTCTTCCGAAAGAACACATCCACACTGCCAAAGTGCATCGAAAAAGCGCTCTGCTTTTTTGAAAGATGGTGTCCACACAGAATGGAAGCTACCTTGCATTTAACTGTGATTACTGTGGACAAAGTGGTCACCAGTGCACCTGTGCTTTTTCCTCTTTCATTTTCTTCTGAAAGAACACTCTCTTTCCCGTCCACACATGCCTTTTTCTGAAAGAGGTCTTTTCTGAAAAGACTTCTTCCTTGAAGAAAGAGGATTACCAATGCCAGAAAAAAATCCTCTGTTCTTTCGATTTTCTTTCAAAAGAACACGATTGCAGTTTGGGCATAATTGAAGGGGGAGGGGTTTGGAAAAATTGCTGTTTTTCTGAAAAAACAAACAAACCTCTGTAGTGTAGATGTACACTTAGTTTCCAACCTGTGTAAAATGGCTATAAGAATACTGTATAAAGTACAGTAAACTTCCGATAATCCGGCACCTGTAGGACCCAGGGGGTGCCGGATTATCAGATATGCCGGACTATCAGAAGAGGGGGCTATGAGGGGTCTGGAGTGGCATCCCCTCCCACCCCACTCCAGACCCCTCATAGCCCCCCCTTCTGATAGTCCGGCATATTTGATAATCCGGCACCCCCTGGGTCCTAAAGGTGCCGGATTATGGAAGTTTACTGTACTTAAGTAAAATCCTAAACATTGCATTTTTACAGAAATTACTCCATCACTACCTATACTACTAGAAAGCTGGCCTACTCAAACAGCAGGATCTTGTGGAGCAATCCCTAAAGAGGGAAGTAGAGGGGATGTGGGCATGGAGATGAACTGGATGATTTAACCTGAAATGACAGTGTCCAGGATACAATGGTCAAACATTATGGAGCCCAGGCATTTTAAAACAGGACAGCCTGTCTCCAAAGAAAAGGGTGAACGACACAAGATTCTTCCAAAGAACTGCAAGTCCTCAATAGCTTGTTGGACATCCAGCATAATCCCTAAATTCTGGAACCAGGAAGCCCTCCTTAGTAATTTTCCAAGGCCATTGCCCTGACAAAGTGTCCGTCATATGTAGGGCAAAGATCGCAATGAGTTTCTATTCTAGGAGGAGGACCTGAATCTGCCCTGCAGAGCCCTGTCCACACTGTTGTGACCACCAGGAAATTCATGGCAGATGAGAATAAAACCCTTTGTATCTCTGCACTGGCACAAAATAGTGCTTATCCAACCAACTGACCACCTGCAATACTGAAGATTGCCTCAATGAGGAGAGCCACTCTCCCAGGGACAGAGGCCTAGAGAACGTCAACATAGAATCATAGAATACTAGAACTGGAAGGGACCTCAAAAAGTCATCATGTCTAGTCCCCTGCCCTCACGGCAGGACCAAGCACGATCTAGATCATCCTTGATAGATGTCTGACACGTGGTGAGAGGTAATGGAGGGTGGGGCAAGGCAGTGCCAACTCATACAGCCAAGGCACAAGAGCCAACTCTCTACAGGTACTGTTGGGAAAAGTCTCTAGCTTCAATGCACAGCAAATGCACACACTTACTTGGAATATACATCCACATCTACTCAAAGAATTAATGTTGGCAAAATTTGGGATCATTAAGTTCTCTGCACTGGCACAGAAACATGTCAGCCAGACAGATATCAGCCAAGTCATAACTGTTCTTTCAGAATTTGTAGATACGACATCAAAAGTTGCCTGTGCTTTCTCTGTCCCTACAACTGGGAATATCCTCCAATTTTTTCCTTTACAAGCCTATGAAATTAAATGTAAAGGACTAGCTAGTCTCAGATTCTTAAATGTATACTGAAGACAAATTAGTAAATAAAAACCCCGCCTCTCATACTAAAACAATATATATCATCACAAATTCTTGCATTCATAAACTGTACAGAGAAAGCATGGTATCAGATTGTTGAACTTTGGTATTTGCTGATTTGAGCAACAATTTACCATATTTCTTAGGACAAACTGGAGAACAGGCTTGAATTCAGCAAGATTAAATTCAATTAAGGCAAGTGCAAAGCACTTCACTTAGAAAGGATGAATTCAAATGCAAAGCTACAAAATGGAGAACAACTGGTTTGGTAACAGTACTTCTGAAAAGGGTCTGGGGACTATAGTGAATTACAAATTGAGTAGGAGTATGATTCCACGTGATGTAGTTGTGAAAAAGGCTACTATTCTGGGAATATGTGCTAGACAGAGGAGGTATCTGTCCACTCCTGTTTGGCACTGGTGAGGCCCTCAGATGGATTACAGTGTGCAATTTGGGGTGCCATACTTTTGGAAAGATATGGACAAACTGAAGAGAATCCAGAGGACAGCAACAAAAATAAGAAATTTAGAAAACCTGAGTTATGGGAAAAGCTTAAAAAACTGGCCATGTTTAGTTCTGAGAAAAGATGATCGGTGGTGGGACCTAATGACAGTCTTTAAATATTTAATGGCTTTAATACAGAGAACTGATCAACTATTCCCTATGAGCAGTGAAATTAGGAATAAAGTAATGGACTTAATCTATAGCAAGTGAGATTTAGGTTAGATTTTAGGAACCATTTTCTAACTAGTAGGGTTATTAAACTCTGGAATAGATTTCCAAAGGTTACTGTTGAATCCCCTATCACTGGAGTTTTGGAAACAAGACTGGACAAACACCTGTCAGGGATGATCAAGGTTTACTAGGACCTACCTCAGTGCTGGGGGCTGGACATGACATCTTAAGGTCCCTTTCACCTCTACATTTCTATGACTGATCACAGAAGTCACATGGTAATTCAAACTTTTTAACTTTATATTGCCTGAAGATATTTGCATTTAATGTTGCTTCACTTTTTAAAAACAATCATTGCAGTAAGAGTTAACAGTGAATATTGGCAAGGTTTTTTTACTTAGCTCTCCCTCTGCATATACCTTTGGGTCCCTTAACTAACCATCTTCCTTCTTTGTGGGTAAAAATCCCAGAGCGTTAAGCCACTTAAAGCATAGGCAAGTTTTGACTTGATGTCATATATACAAATTCTGAAAGAACAGTTATGATTTCGCTAATATCTGTTTGTCTAGTGATCTGATAAAACAGCAACAGATGGTTATTTAGGATTTAGGTCAACTAAAACAAAGCACTTCCAGAGAATGGGTTTCTTCAAATCGCCTACCATTTTATATTGGACATTATCTATGTTTGTGTAGACATTCAAAAACAAAGTCTGAAACATTCTGGAGACTTAAGTGAGAAAATGGATTTTTTTTTTTTACCTAGAACTGTTGTTATTGCTCTTCTTGTCACTTTTCCATTCTTCCTCCTCATCAGTAGAACTTAAGCCTTCACTTTCTTCAGCTTCCTGGATTAAAAAGAGTGTAATTGATTATCAATCATGATTTTTTTGTGCAGTGCATATAAGAAGTTTTATATGGTTGAACTCTAAGGTAGCATCTTAGAAGGGGAAGGAAAGGTAGCAAGTTAGAAAAGAAGATCTCACTATATTAAAAAGATTTATTAAAATAATGAAGTAAAGTTCTTTAGTTTCTAATTGAGCTGACTTCAACACTTACACAAACTAGCACTGCATATTAAATTATTCAGTGTGGGTTGATTGTACATAAACAAAGGCACTACAAGAACTGTCACAACATTCCAAGGCTACTACAGCCCGCACCCAATGGTAGCTGCACTGTTTTGCCTGTGAAATACCTTAGCATTCTTTGCACACACTTTTGCAAGATTTTAATACTCAAGTCTGCATCATCTTAGAATCTTGATATTTTCATGAAGTCAATGTATGATGGAACCTGGCTCACTTAGCATGCAAAAGAAGAATTTAAAGTAGCAGAAGATGGGGTGTAAGATTAAAAAAAGACTATCATGCTCCCTCTTCCCCATAAAAACAGAAGATTTCTAATTTCTATAGATGTTTCCCTTAAATATTTTGTACAGATTTTCAACATATTGACTGGCCTTGTATTCAATAACTTTGTAAAGTAAAACAGTGTATATTTAAATATATAATGGATTACAAAGTATGTGAAATATCCTCCAATATACTGCAGAAGTTTCAAAATTTCCTGCAATTTTTGCCAAATTTTGCTCCTGTGAATTTCACATTCCTAGCAGATTCACTGTGAATTTGTGAAGGACTGCCTTAAATAAAAAAAAGAAGGACCTAGTAACTGGATATCAACCTGAGGGCCATCAGAACAAGTAATGATTCAGGTTATATTCTATAGTATACTACACATAACATATGTTGAAGAAAATTGTTAAGGTTGCAGTGTTAAGCACTCAGGATAAGGAAATGTCAGAATTAAAGGTTGTCTGAGCACTCAACTGCTTAGGCACGATGCTGTCCTTTACTCCTGCATCCTCCTGCCCAAGGGTGGGCAAGATCCAGCCTGCAAAGCCACCAGATATGGCCCCCAGCCACCTCGCTAGCACCCTTACTGCAGAGTAGGAGCACCCACTTTAAACAGCAGACTGCTAATTGCTCTGCAAGCTGGGTAGGGAGGAAAAGCTGTGTGCGCTATCCCCACCCCGTAGCAAAATCCCTAAGCTCCCACTGGCCAGTTTCGGGCCAATAGGAGCTGAGAAATTTTGCTAAAGGCAGGGGAAGTGAATGAAGTCTCCTCACTTCCCCTCCCTCCCTGTGCTAGAGCAGAGCCAGGTGGAACAGCCCACAGGAATGGAGTCTACAGAGCTACTGGTTGGGAGCCACTTCGGTAAGTGCCTCCCAGCCAGAGGCTGTCTCTGGCACCTCCACCCCATCTCGCCCCTTAACTACCTGCCCCAGGCCACCACCGAAACCCTCTGTATCCCTCTGCCCACCTCCTCCAGGTCACAACTCTCTCCCAGACCTTGCACCCCTTTCTGCACCCCTCCTCCAGGCCAGAATCCTCTCCTGCACCCATAACCCCTCCTGGACCCTGCACTCCAAATCCCTGCCTCAAATTATAACCCCTTCCTTCATCCAAACTCCCTCCTGCACCCCAGTCCCCTATCCCAAGCTCTCTTCAACTCCTGCTGTCCCAGAGCACATACCCCCTCTCCACAGGGCCCTTGACCATTTCACAAAATCTTGGGAGTGGCGCCCCCCATTAAAAATTATTGCCCACCCCTGCTCCTGCCTCATTCACTACACACTTTTCAGCCTGTGCAACAGATGAAGCAGGGTTCCTATGGTATAGTATCTTCAGTATATGATCCTGATTCAATCCTATAGCATGCCTCTTCCCCTGGCTTCAACTAGGGATGTAAAATTTAAATTAGTTGTCTAATCAAATAGTCAATAAGGATGATAAAGGCAACCCAGGGCAAGGCGAAAGCTCTGCAGGAAGCTCAGGGCCAGGGGGAGACTCAAGCAGTCCTGCACTGGCCCCATGCTCTCCATGGTGTTTCAAAGCAGCAGCACCGCATGGAGCCTGGAGTTAGCCAGGGACTCTGAGTCCCCAATTGACCCAGGGCTCCATGCGGTGCTACAGCTTTGAAACACTGCTTACAGCCCGGGGCCAGCTGGAGACTCCTAGCTAGCCCCAGACGCCACGTGGTGCTGCCACTTTGAAGCACCCCTTCCTCTCCCTGCCACTTACTGCCTCTTTTTAATAAAGGCAGCGGCGGGAGAGGGGGAATGACTAGTTGACTAGCATATTGACTAGTCGTTCACATTCCTAGCTTCAATGCCACTATTTCCCAGCCCCAGTTCTTCAATCTCCCATAGCTGGCTCTTGTCCTGTCTGCATTTGAGGGGAAATGCTGAAAGGTGCAAGACTCTCATTGCTGTGCTCACTATCACAACAACCAGGAGCAGCACTTACAGGGAAATTTCTGTTCATGCCCTACAGCCATGGGCTAAAGCAGGTCTGAGCAAAATACCCTCCAGCTCATGCATGCAGCAGGAGTCTCAGACAGATTTCCTGCCTGCCCACCACATGCTGCTAAGACAAGCTGCTGCCAGGTTCTGTTTGATCTGCTGTGAGCCTTCACACACTGGTCCCCAACCCCCAGCATTATTCCACTGGCTGGTTTCAGCCAATGGGAGTTGCCTGTTATCAACAGGCAGCTTGGGAAGCACCCTCCCCACGGTTCCCTCAGGCTCCTAGTTGTTCAGAACTCAAAGCCCCCGGGACAAGCAGGGGGTCTGCTTAAGAAGGGTGCTAGCTGGGAGTCAGGCAGGTAAGTCTCCCAGCCAGAGCCTGTTTCTGGCACCCCAACCCTTTGCACCCTCTATCCCACATATCCCCTCCCAGATCTTCTGCCCCCATATCCTCTCCCAGATCCTGTACCCAATCCCTTCTTCCCCAGTCATAACCTACTCTTGCCCAAGGTCACAACCCAAACCTTTGCACCTTAGTCCCATAACCTAGGTCACAACTACCTCCTTCACCCAACCTCCATCCCAGACCCCATGGCTCCTCCATGAATATGAAAGAGTGCGACCCTTGAGCACTTTTCAAAATCTTGTTGTGGTCTCCCATTAAAAATTATTGCCTAGTGATTGTCTTTTTTTTGTATGATTTTATGAGAAGCAATCCCATCCTGGGAACATCCCATTTTCCTGACATAACGAAATCCTTACTTTGCTTTAAGTTATGATAAAAGAAAGTTGTACACCAAATTTGGTGGTCATAGCTCTTACCATTTAGGAGGAATTCTAAAAAAAACCAGACAGACTCACAAACTCAAAATATAGATCTGCTATATATATATTAATGAAACTGTCAGGATACTTTCCACTAACTCCAGTTATTAGAGAATTTGGAAAAGCACTCACCCGGTTTATGAAGCCAAAACAGTCATCCCTTTCCTCATCAGATGAATTAAGTTGTTCTGTGTTATTCCACGTTCGATAACTTGCATATTTACGCCTATGTAGTCTACGCTTTGATTGTATCAGCGAAGCTTCAGAATCACTCTAATTTATACAGAAGTAAAAACAGAGTTACAAATAAAGGTACAATGCTAAATTAATGAATTTTTTTTTTTTGCTTAAAGATAAAAAGAACATTACTGAATTTTTAAAAATGACTTTGCAGCACCAGTATTTCCATCGTACTGTAGGCATTTACTGAAAGAAATGGCTTCAGTTAAACAGAAATCTGTAAAAAATTAATCCAGGAGATTTTGATGCCTTAAATTAAGATACAATATTGGTTTTAAGAAAAGACAGTTACTTACCTTCGTAACTTGTTCAAGATGTGTTGCTCCTGTCCATTCCATGTAGGTGTATGCACACCGTGTGCTTGCATCGTCTGAGGCTTTTCCCTTAGCAGTATCTGTTGGGCCAAAAGTGGAGCCCCCTGGTGTGGCACTGCTGAATCAGCTAATATACACCCTCTTGGTTCCTTTTTATCAGACCACTCATAAGAACGGGAAGTGGACGGAATTTGGAATGCACATGAGCAACACATAGAATCATAGAACTGGAAGGGACCTCAAGAAGTCATCAAGTCTAACCCTCTGCCCTCATAGCAGGACCAAGAACTGTCTAGATCATCCCTGACAGGTGTCTGTCTAATCTGCTCTTAAATCTCTCCAGTGACAGAAATCCCACAACCCCCCTAGGCAATTTATTCCAGTATTTAACCATCCTGGCAATTAGAAAGTTTTTCCTAATGTCCAACCAAAACCTCTTGCTGCAATTTAAGTCCATTGCTTCTTGTCCTATCATCAGAGGCCAAAGCCAAAGAGAATAATTTTTCTCCCTCCTCCTTGTAACACCCATTTAGATACTTGAAAACCGCTATCATGTTCCCTCTCAGTCTTCTCTTTTTTAAACTAAACAAGCCCAATTCTTTCAGTATTCCCTCACAGGTCATGTTTTCTAGACCTTTAATCATTTTTGGTGCTCTTCTCTGGACTTTCTCCAATTTCTCCACATCTTTCTTGAAATGTGGTGCCCAGAACCAGAAACAATACTCTAATTGAAGCCTAATCAGTGTAGAGCAGATTGGAAGAATGACTTCTGTTAATTCATCCCAGAATCATGTTTGCTTTTTTGCAACATGTCATACTGTTGACCCATATTTAGCTGGTCATCCACTATGACCCCTAAATCACTATCAGCAGAACTCCTTCCAAGACAGTCACTTCCCATTCTGCATGGGTGAGACTAATTGTTCCTTCTGAAGTAGAGTACTTTGCATTTGTCCTTATTAAACTTCATCCTGTTTATCTCAGACCATTTCTCCAATTTGTCCAGATCATTTTGAATTATGACCCTATCCCCCAAAGCAATTGCAACCCCTCCCAACTTGGTGATATCTGCAAACTTAACAATCCTACTCTCTATGCCATCATCTAAATAACTGATTATATTGAACAGAACTGGTCCCAAAAAAGATCCCTGCAGAACTCTACTTGTTATGCCCTTCCAGCATGATTGTGAACCCTTAACTACTTTTTGAGAACGGTTATTTAGCCAGTTATGCACCCACCTTATAGTAGCCCCATCTAGGTTGCTTTTCCCTAATTTATTGGTAAGGTCGTGTGAGACCATGTCAAATACTATAGTCTAGGTTAGGGTTACTCAACAAGCAGCCCGTGGGCCGCGTGCAGCCCACAGCCCATTTGTTTGCGGCCCACGATGCAGTTTGGGTTTACACGGGGCTCAACACGCGGCCTATGAGTAAGATCCTTTGAACATGACCTCCACTGGGAACACGTTCCACAACGGTGAGGAATCTCCCAGGTAGGGTAATTATTGAAAGACATAGTGGAAAGGCTGGCTGCAACAGATGGGTACAGCGTGTCGGCATTTCTAGCCCCCAGGGAGGAGGTGCTGGGGCATTGTGGGAAGTGCTTTGTATTCATGCCCATCAGTGTGAAAAACTATTTGCATGTATATGCAACCACACTTAAGTTGCGGCCCTCAGCATGCACTGTATCTTTGTGGCCCCCGGGGATTTCAAAGTTGAGTAGCCCTCATCTGGGTATACCACGTCCACCTCTTCTCCCTTATCCACAAGCTTTGAAATCCTATCAAAGAACGCTTGTCCAGGGTGGCCTGGAGGGCAGCCTGAGAAACTATCCTGCCCTCCTTCATGAGGGCTCTCAACTCAGATTGAGAGTCCCTTGGGAGCAGTTCGGCAAACTTGTCCATGGTCGCCAAACTGTTATACACATAGTGACTCAGCAGGACCTGCTAGTTTCCTGTATGGAGCCGAAGACCCCAGATGCATAGGCCTTTCTGCCCAAGAGATCCATTTTTTTAGCATCCCTAACTTTTAGGGGTGATGCCCGGCTGGCCCCGCATCTCCCTCTGGGTTCACCGTCTGGACGACCAGAGACCCATTCCCCTCCTGTGACACAAAGTACCTCTGCTCAACCTTCTTGTCCGTAGGTGGGACAGAGGCCAGAGTTTGCCAGAGGGTCTTCTTGATTTTGGCCACGGTCTTGTTGATCGGTAATGCTACTCTGATAAGAGAGCTGGGTTGTAAGTTATCAACCATGGGGTCTGAATCCTCTGATACTGTCTGCACTTTAACCCCCAGACTCTGGGCCAGGCGACAAAGGAGTTCCTAGTGGGACCTTGAGTCCATGGAAGGCATGGAAGGGACAGACTCATCGAGTGTGTCATCTGGTGAGGAGGACAAGGACCCTTTCATACATGTCCCCTCAGGGTTACGGAATTGTGAGGTGGCCTGAGAGGCCACAGATGAGACCACAGTGGAGGGGTGAGCAGCAGGGGCTCCTCTCTCTAAGGGGGATCTCAGGGAGGCCTGGCCAAGTAGAAGGGACTGTCCCAATATCAGGGATTGACTCAGTGGGGACAGAAAGGCTGACTCTGATTTAGAAAAGCCTGCACCCTGGCTCTAGTGGTAAGCCCAGGGAGTCCAAAAGGGCCACTGAGCTGGGGACTGCATTTGTGAGGGCCAGCACTGCTGTACCATCGGCATCGGGATTGGCTGGGGCCATTGTTGCAGCTGATGATGTTGCGTGGAGGTGCTGCGGTGCTATGACCTGGAGCCGCCGGATGATCATACCTACTCTGTCTCTGATTTGGTCGTGTACTCCGAGGTCGACCACAGTGATGTGGTGGTGGTCACAGCCAGTGATCTCCCAGTTGGAGTATGCTGGGTCATTAGCTCTGGCTTTCCCTGGTGCTGGGAAGGAGAAAGGGGCATAACCAGTGCCAGCGTCACTATGCCTGGTGGGGAGGGGACAGCTGGTGCCGGACTTGGTGCCACTGCCGGTACCACCTGAGGACCCTGTACCGGTGCTGGCTCCAGTGCATGGACAGGAGTGGAAGCTGCAGCTGGTGCCAAAGCTGAGGGTGGTCCCACGCCCGGTGCTGGGGTTGAAGCTACAGGCGCTGGGACAGAGGGGTGATGTTCCCTCGCTTCCAGGCCCATGGCACTAGATTCCAGGGCCAAGAGTCGGTACCATCCCAGCTCGCACTCCTTGGCTAGACCCGGTGCCAAGGTCAGGGAAGAAGACAGCGTGATCAAGTCTCTTGCTGCCTCGTAGGTCTCTGGAGTGACAGGCTCTGGGAAGTCCCCTGGCGGGCTGGAAACTCATCATGGGTTAGAGTGGTGCTGGCCCGACTGCGATGGTCCAGGTGCAGCACTTGACGGTGCTGTGTGCCCCACTTGAGGGCGAGTGCCTTGAAGGAGACCTGCCCATGCTCAGACCCCTCTTCTTCTAGGGCTGAGACCGGTGCCAATGCCTACGAAGTGCCAGGGAGGCGTGCAAGTGGCTGGATGCTCCCTGCATCAAGGCTGGTGTGCTTTAGGTTACCAGAGCTGGGTTGGAGGCCGGTGCCAGGCGCAAAGCCACCTCCATAAGTATAATCTCCAAATGAGATACTCTTTCCTACTTGGTGCACGGCTTGAAGGCCTTACAGATTTTACAAGCCTCAGACAAATGAGCCTCCCCAAGGGACTTAAGGCAGGCTGAGTATCTCCATAGGGCTCAGGCATCTGGCACTCCGCATAGGGCTTGAAGCCTTGGGGCCTAGGCATGCCCTGCCAAATGCACTGGGGGCACAGCCCAAGCCTCGTCTCTGCACTTGATTGTTCGGTCCAAAGTAAAACACTTAACTCAAGGGTTCTCAAACTCTATGATACCGTGACACCCCTCCCCCAACTACTTAAGAACTAGATAAGAACAATGAACTGCTAAAACTAAGAACTAGAACACTACGTAAAACTGCTAAGAGGCACTTGCAGAGCAAAAGCAAGTTACAATGACTGTCATGAACGGTATGAAGGAACTGAAGGGGTAGAGAGCCAAGCAGGGCTATATATTAGCCGATATAGCAGCGCCACTCCAGGGGGCTTCCCCGCTGGCCCAATGGATACTGCAAAGGGAAAAATCTTCTGATAACGCGTGCACACCTACATGGAATGGACATAAGCAATCACTCAAAGAAGAAATTGCTATTATTCATAGACTTTCATGTACATAATCCATCTGAATCCCTTATCCCAACGGTTAATATAGTTTCTCAAGGAGAGCAATCCCACAATTAACAACATCCAATGCAACTTATGTTTCACAAATGAATCCATTAAAACCATGCTGGCCTAATGAAAAGCTCCAGTAAAATCTAGACTAAAGCAAGAACAAACGTGGCTATATTTTGTCTCTGATATTTACACGTCAAAGATTTGTAAACCCTGTTAAAACATCTTAAATAGATAAAAATTAAATACAGCTTTACAATATGAAAGTAAACATTTTATTGACTTATAACAAATATTATAAACATATGAAACTGCAGAGTTTTAAAAGCTCCTCCGAGTTCCCACTACAGTAAAACTCCATTGGTCCGGTATCTGATGGTCCGGCACCATCAGGAACCCGGAAGTGCTCCGGGCAGCCGGACCATTAGAGCTGCTCTGCCCCCAGCTTCCCCGATTCAGCCGCTGCTGAAACTGACCAGCAGCGGCTGAATCAGGGATGCCTGGGGCAGAACCGGACTATCGGAAGGGGGGGTTATGAGGGATCTGGGGTGGCATCCCCCCCACACCACCCTAGACCCCTCATAGCTCCCCCTTCTGATAGTCCGGCATATCTAATAATCCGGCACCCTCTGGGTCCTAAAGGTGCCGGATTATTGGAAATTTACTGTATTTTGCTAAAATGTGGTACACCTTACAGTAGCATCAAGATCATAATTCCTATCATCGTACATTTAAAAAAAGATTTAAACAGTAATCATAGCTGTGTAGTGAAGCTATGGTTTTTTACATAAATAAGACTCCTACTTTACTCTGTAGTTCAATTATCTGCTGTGGAACTAAGAACCAGTTTATGAAATTAAAGTAAAATTTGTATGTCATATGTAGGGATGTTAACAAATGTTTATTTTTGTAAAAGTATAACAACTGAAATCTTCAGTGTTTACACATAGGGGGGCAGACAGGAGCTGGCTTTTAAGCCAGCTCCCCACAAGCACTGTCCCCCGACCTCTCCGCACTGCTGCCTCTGATACAGAGACAGCAGAACAAGCGGCTCTGCGCCAGCCAGCACGTGAGGGGAGCTAGCTTGAAAGTCAGTTTCCCATTCCAGCTCTCCCCTGTTCCCCACCTCCCCACCATTACTATCTCTCTCTCAAAGGCAGTGGGAGGGGAGATGGCAGGGCAGGCGGCTCTGTGAGAGCTAGAACAAACAAAGAGCCAGCACCAGCTCCCACCTCCCCTCCCTTCTGCCTCTGATACAGAGGCAGTGGGGACACTGGGGGGGAAGGGGAATGTAACTGTGTTGGTTAATCAATGAGCCCAGGTTTATCAGTTAACTGTGTACAAGAGGACACATTAACACCCCTAGTCATATGAAAAGATAAAATCATTAGAGCTATAAAGAAAGAAAAGTAAAAACAAGGCTTGTTATAAATATAAAAATAAGCTGTTATTTTGACAGTAAAACAGATTAAAACAAAAATACAATTCTTCTGAATTTGAGAGAAAGGCAGGCCACTGAAGTATTTTTAAAGAAGCTGATATCAATTAATAGTTGATATTTTACAGCCTAACAGAATTTGTTGCAAATTCACCATTTCATTTATTAGCGTAACAATTTGAAGGTCTACTTAAAAAGTTAGGTATTATATGTAGTTACTGCTATCACCAAATCCCCCTGCCAATTTTGGGTTAATTTTACAATTATGTTTTTCAATTTAAACCATTCTATATTGTGTTGGGCCATGAAAAGAAATGGAAAAAACTGACAATCCTGAAATGGATTGTATACAAAATACTGTAAAATCCAGAAAGTAAGCTGCAAAAGGGACAAGTGACACGATCTTATAACTGAGTTTATAGAAATTACCTCTGAAGATACCATCTTGTTGGATTCACACTGTGTTTACACTCTTTAGTACTATACATGACTGGGAAAACTGCACTATTAATAAAATCTTAAATCCTTGAAATACAATGGCAACAACCTGAAGTCTAACCCAGGCCCTCTCGACTGTCAAACTGCCAAAGGAAATCCACTCAGTTCCAGGATGGTGGAAGATGAAGCTCCCAGAATAAATGCCAATTCAAGGAAGTAGCCATAAAATAAAAATGTACCACAGAAAAAGTGTGCAGAGGGGTCACTGAGAACCCTGAAAGATGGTATCTTCAGAGACATTTGTAGGTACTTTAATTTGTGGCTTTTTCATGCAGAAGTTAAGAACTCATCATTCACTATACCTGTTCCATACCTTTTCTGAGAACTGAAATGTCTTCCTTTTCTTC